TTAGGAGGCTCATCACTACTTTTCTTTGTCCTTCCTCTATTCCTAATCCTAAACCCAATCTCACAATCAGATCTCGACGCAGGAGGTTAGTTCCTACTTCAGGAACATATGAGTGACCCCTCAGTTTGTTTTGGTCCTGATGTAATTAACATTTTCTTAGATATTAGAACCTGAAATCCCTCCTCTTTTATCCCTGATACTGTCAATTTTTCCTTACAGAGTACCCCTTGGTGAATCAGGGAGGAGTGAGCTGCCCCAGTATCAATCAAAATGTCACTTCTTCCCTCAGGTCCCACCTTCACATTTATTGAGGGTTCCTGGTGGGACCTACTCAGAAGGAGCTCCTGCCCCCCCCCCCCCCCCATCTTCATCAACCATCTTGAAGGGTATCACCTTTTCTTTTTTCCATTTAGGATATCCTCTCTTAAAATGTGCTGTCTTTCCACACTTGCAACATCCACTCATAGTCTTAGGACCTTTTCCCTGCATTTCCCTTCTTTCTGTGTGTCGAAGTCTATAATTCCCTTGTTTCCTAAGTGGGGGATCTTGATGTAACCCTTTTCTGAATACCTCTTCCACAGTGGAAACCTTGATTTTTGCTTTTTGTTTCTGCTTCTCTTCCTTTCTCCTTACAAGACCTTCTGAGTTTGCCTCAGTAAATCCTCAGTTGGTTTCTCTTTCCATCCATCAATCTTTTATAATTTTTTGGTAATGTCAGGCCAGCTCTTAATTACAAAGTTAACCTTCAAAAGACGTTGCCCTACTGGGTCCTCTAGATCTAATCTGGAGCATTTTCTCATCTGATCTCTGAGCCTATGTAGGAATGCAGAGGGAGTTTCCTCTTTTGCTTGTTGAATCTTGAGTGTGTCCCACGAGTGGATTCCTTGATCCCTTTAATTATCAGTTCCCGAAGGTCCTATATTTGGGCGCAGTCCCTGGGATCATTATTGTCCCATTCAGGATTAACATTTGGAAATTTTTGTTCAGCTGGTGAGACTCCTTGCCTGGGAGGGTGTTGCCTCTCCCAGATGGTCACGTCCACTCTCCTAATCATTCCCCTTTCTTTTCCTATGGGCAGGATATTCTTGATGGACATCGTTTCAGCCCAGGTATAAAAACTGGATCCTAGGAATTGGTCCAGATGGTCTGCTAAACTGAGGGGATCTTCTGGGAGTGGTTTCATTTTTTTCTTGAAATTCCTAATTTCAATACTTAGGAGCATTTACAAAGCCAGTCTCTCCCTGTTCCATGGGAACTCCCCTAAGAGGGAACATGCTAGGTGCCTGCTGTGTGGAAGGAATAGGGAAGTTCTCAATATCCCTCTTACAGTGTTCTAGTTCTTTTCTTAAATTTGGATAAGGATTTAGAGGAACAGTTGGTTTAACCTCCATGGTATCCAGGTCTTTCCTCTTCTAACCCTCTTGCTTCCCCTTGACTTTCCTGTCCCCTATTTTTTGAGATGTATGGAGGGGCATGCATGACAGGAGGTCCCAGGGCTTTTCACTGGGTGAGGGGTTTTTACTAGGCTCTTTTTCTTCTTTAAGCGGGAATATGGGGGCTAATTCCTTCGTCCAGCAGAGAGCATAACCCATCTCTTCTTGTGAGATTGGGGTTTTATTATTCACATAGAGAATTAAAGCTTGGCACACCCAATATTTAATCTGAGCCAAACTTAGGCCATAGGACTATCCTGGTAAATGTCAGAGGGAGTCTCTTTGGCTCCCTCTTTCCCTTGTCCCCTAGGCCTAGAATTTCGGTTTCCCATTTTCGGTCAGTCTGTGTCTGAGCTTTTCCCTGTGTTCTCAGCACCCCCTACTGGAGGTTTCTTGCACACCCCGAGAATCACTTCATCTATTCTCCGACCATTCTTTGTCCATTCTTTGTCCATTTTCCTCATGGGAGAACAGAACCATGGATTGAGACTCTGCTGTTGCTTCAAATCTAGGGTACATCTCAGTCACACTCACTCAACCTCTAAAAATGCCCAACCACCAAGACAGTACTTATAGTCCAGTTTTCCTCCCTTGGCTCCTACACAAGGTTGCTTGGTTACTGCAGTGCCTGCTTTTCTCCGTGTGTCACCTCTGCTGCCTCCTGAATAACAGTCTCAGGTTTGTCTGTGTCTTCTGTGGGGAGCCAGGATGCCCAGACAGAGCGGGCCACCTAAATCGGGCGGGACGCCTCTCCCCTCTCAGCTGGAGTCCCACTCCATGCACGTACAGAGATCCCAGACAGGCCCCCAGGTTTGTGAGACATACACATTCACCTGTCCAAACCCAAAGAATGGAGACACGAACAATGGAAGCGAGACTTTTAATGGTGGTCTTGCAAGATGGGGTGTCTGGTAGGCAGGCACACCTGGGGCAGTTATAGCAGGTAATTTATCTCCTAGCATGCAGTGCTTACTGCCACCTCCACCCCCCAGGTTCAAGTGGTTCTCCTGCCTCAGCCTCCCAAGTAGCCGGGATTACAGGTGTGCACCACCATACCCAGCTACTTTTTTTTGTATTTTTAGTAGAGACAGGATTTCACTGTGTTGGCCAGGCTGGTCTCAAACTCCTGACCTCAGGCGATCCACCCACTTCGGCCTCCCAAAGTGCTGGGATTACACGTATGAGCCACCGTGCCCAGCCTAAATACATTTTTTTTTTTTTTTTTTAAAGTAGGCCACTACCTCCACCTTTGTACAGAGAAATCCCAGGTTCCTCCTGTTGGAACCTAGCTAGACCCTGGAGTAAGATACCAAGACCAGACTTGCCAAGTGTGGCTTCGCATAGAGTTTGTGTCTGACCTGGGGTCAGGGCCTTGTCTACACACTTTTTTTTTTTTTTTTGAGACAAGTCCTGGCTCTCTCATCCAGGCTAGAGTGCAGTGGCTCACTGTAGTCTCAACATTTGCATTACATGTTGATTTATGTAATTAATGGATGGTGTTGCTTATTATCGATTGATCATGAATCTTGCCACTCGACAAATTTATTCTAATTGTTTATTTTCTCAGATTTTTTATGTAAATAATAATAACTGTAAATAATAATATATTTCAATTTTTTTCCTTCCAATGATTGTACCTCATTTCATTTTACTGTCTTATATGTAGGCTTGGTAAGAATGTTTCGTATTATGTTGAAAGTAGTAATGATATATATAATAGCACTCCTATCTTGTTCCTGATGTATAAAGTAATAGTTCAGAAGTTTCTCCATTAATTATATGTAGCAGTATAGGGTGCCAATGACTTTTTGCAGGTAAAAGAATAACTTTTTATTCCTGGTTTGCCAAGAGCGCTTATCAAAATGTGTTAAATTTTATCACATTGTTTTTATGCTTCTGTTGATCTTTTTTTTCTCTCCTTTAACTTTATGGGATCTTAAGTCATACAAAGTATTGTATTTTTGTGTAGTCAGATTTGTCTGTTTTCTCCTTTATAGTTTCTAAATAACCTGTTGTACTTTTTAAAGTATCACCAAGCTCTAGGTTATAGAAATGTTTTCCTTTTTTTTTTTTTTAATACTTGGTTTTAAATCTTTATAACATGTATTTTGGTGTGTGGTATGACACGGAGGTGAAACTTCTTTGTGTTACTTCACATGGATGTTTAATACAATATTGTATTGAGTGCAGTGGTCCTGTAAGTGTTAATATTTGTTTATAATAATAATAAGGAAGACTAATGGTTTTTTCAAAGGGTATGAAAAAGTAAAAGCACACACGTAAAGAAAAAGAGAATGTAAAGAAAAAGAGAGAGTATCTGATGTGAACCAACTTGAGCCTATAGATTTTTTTATTGGTGAGTCAAAAGCAGGGCCAAGAAAAGAAATTATCCAAATTGAATTTTCTTATTGTATTAGTCTGTTTTCACGCTGCTGATAAAGACACAATTCCACATGGCTGGGGAGGCCTCACAATTATGGCAGAAGGCAAAGAGGAGCAAATCAAATCTCATGTGGATGGTGGCAGGCAAAGAAACAAAAAAGACACAAAAGCAGAAATCCCTGATAAAACTCTCAGATCCTGTGAGACTTATTCACTGCCGCGAGAACAGTATGGGGAACCCACCCCCATGATTCAGTGATCTCCCACTGGGTTCCTCCCACAACATGTGGGAATTATGGAAGTATAATTCAAGAGAGGTTTGGGTGGGGACACAGAGCCAAACCCTATCACTTATTATCCAAGTTTTATCGGACTGGGAAAACAACATTTCAGTCCCTTAAGTAACAGTTTTAGAGGGAAGATCTACAGCTAACAGTTATTCTTTGAGCACATCAGGATAAACCAGTTAACCAAATTTTGATATGCCTCATTTATTATACACAAAAACAAAATGGCTTTTTTCTTTTTAGTTAACATTAAACTAGCTTTTATTCCAAAACAAAGAAGTCGGTCCAGTAGAACTACGTTATATTTTGAAGAAAGCATATTTAAGAATTTCTTTGGACAACAGAAACTAAGTATTATCTTATGAAACCTAAAAACTCTATTAAATTCTAAATGTAGCATGTGCCTGCCTCCCATTTTTGCCTTGTAAAGAACTCAGTACACTATTAAATTATTAACTTAGTTTATTTGAAATGGTTCTAAGATATTTCATGCCACCATGATTAAAACTAAAACCCAGGTTAGCAGTTTGGAAGAACAGTGGACATGAGCCTTGAACATTATATATATTTGTTACATCTGATAGAGATTTTAAATTGCCTGCTAAAAGCCCTCTTGCTTTGTAGATGGGAAACTGAGGGTCCGGTGGCTATTTACTTGCTCCAGCTTTTATTTCCAGTTCATAGCAGAAGCAGGACTTAAACTTCAGGTCTTTTTGTTGCAATCACATGGTCTTTCTCTTTGCATTGCTTGTTTCATAACATTTTTAAATAAAATATTTTGCAACTAGTGAAACTGTACAAAAACTCATATATAATATGACCAGAAGGAAGATTGTTAAAAATTATAATTTCACTTAAGTAAAATGTGTATAACTTCATTTACTGTTTTTCTATGTAGGTGAAAAGAGATTTGAATGCCCAGAATGTTCTAAAAGGTTTATGCGGAGTGATCATCTCTCCAAACATGTCAAAACGCACCAGAATAAAAAAGGTGGTGGGACAGCTCTTGCCATTGTTACCTCGGGAGAACTGGACTCATCTGTTACAGAGGTGCTTGGCTCCCCAAGAATTGTCACAGTTGCAGCCATTTCTCAAGATTCGAATCCAGCAACTCCCAATGTTTCAACCAACATGGAAGAATTCTGAAAAGTTATTTATAACAGAGACCTCTAGTGCTGCACTTGTTTACACACCTTTGAAATCTGGAAATGGGCTGGTCAAGTGGATTACAGAGTAGGAAATTATGTTTTCATTCTTGGCTTCTTTAAGTATTCCAGGGTTTGGGGTCAACACATGAACAGTTGAATTTTAAAAAATACAAAAAGTAAACTGATGTACTGGAAACAGAAAAGTATTTCCTCCATACTATAAGTTGTAGTTGTTTGGAAATATATCACATAACCTTTAGACAGAATCTTCCCATCTCTTAATATCATGTGTTAACATGTTTAAAAAGACCTTAGTAGTTTGCAGGCTGGACCTTAATTGAACTTATTTTCTTTGAAAGTACTTTGTTATAAATTCAGTCAGTAATAATTTACATGTTTTCTTTTTCTCTATAGCACAGAAAACAGATAGTTAACTGATGATAGGGATAATACCGTATTTCCTTAGCTTGATTTTTGGAAAATCAACCGAAAATAGTTTTGGCCGTCTTTTCTAAATGTTAGAAATTCTTCAACAGCTGAATTAGGTAAGTTCTAAAACAGTAATCTGAGATGCATCTCAGATCTTTATTACCACTACATTATAGTAGTGTGTATGCAGACAATCAGTGAAGTCCAATTACTTTCTCCATTTGGAGACACAAGAGGAACTTAGAGTTAAATCTTAGGTTAAATTTAAGGTTGACACCTTAGGAAAATGCTGGGGAAAAAAATGTTAAAACAGAACTCATCATAGCTTCAGAAAAATAAAATGAAACATCTTAACATGCAATGTTCTGAAGTTAGGATTGATTATATTCCTAACCGTAGGTTGAACCACAAAATTTCATTTAATATGTTTATATTGGAAATATTTGCATAGAGTGTAAATTGTTCTGTAGTTTCGTATTTTGTAAATATGAGTTATGTTGACAATGTGCAGAATTCTTTATGCTTTGACTTGGTAGCCAAAGAAAGAATTATACTTTTTTCCAAGGCCAGCAGAAAATTATCTTTTAACTACATTGTAATTCTTGTTTTCCTCTACTAAAAATTGGCCAGTCCCATTTTATTTCTAGTGCTGTGTTAGAAGGTAATTAGAAATTATAACACAGTAATGTTTTTATGTTACATCAATAACTGAATTTTCCCTAAAAATTAGCCTAATATATAATAGATATATTATGAAGCAAAACTTTTATTTTTGAAAAGGCAGAATAATTTTCAGTGAAGTAAGTGACTAAAGAAAAAAATATATGGTTTATGCAAGGGTCTTACAGGAAAGGGTCTTTTTTTTTTGAGATGGAGTCTCGCACTCTCGCCCAGGCTGGAGTGCAGTGGCACGATCTCAGCTCACTGCAAACACTGCCTCCCGGGTTCAAGCGATTCTCCTGTCTTAACCTCCTGAGTAGCTGGGATTACAGGCGTCCACCACCACCACTGGCTAATATTTGTATTTTTAGTAGAGATAGGGTTTCGCCATGTTGGCCAGGCTGGTTTCAAACTCCTGACCTCAGGTGATCCGTCCACCTCGGCCTCCCAAAGTGCTGGGATTACAGGCATGAGCCACCGTGCCCGGCTAGGAAATGGTGTTGTTAGGAAAGATGGCCAAAAGTTTCATATGAAAAAATCTGGATTATACCAGTAACTTAAATATTAATAAGGATATTTTATGTTTTAAAAAAGTATTTACACAGAATCATAATCAGTGAAATTGACCATTTGAAAACTAAAGTTTTTACCTACCTGCTCAATTTATTAACATCATTACTTTGGGGACTGTTTGAATATAGGTACGTGTTTTCTTGTGCATTCTCTATAATTTCAGGAAAAGTACTACTCATGCGAATTATCTTCCAAAATTGTGATGTTTCTTGTATTTTTGATGAAGGAGAAATACTGTAATGATCACTGTTTACACTATGTACACTTTAGGCCAGCCCTTTGTAGCGTTATATAAAACTGAAGGTCTTTTGTGCTTTCAGTTTGTATAAAAAAGCTTTGAGATTAAAGGAAAAAAAATTTTTACACTGTGGTTATAAATTTCAAGTTTCTTAAAGCTTTTGTAGACTTGTAACAGAGTCTTTAAATTTTAGTTGGATTTTGTAAATTGTTTTGTATATTTTATTTAATGTACTCTTAACAACTGATGTATCTGGCTTTAAAACATCAGAATTGGTTTGTTGTTTTGTTTGGTACAGAGGAGCATTTGGTAGTGTTAATTTTAATTTTATTATATAGGAGCTGAAACATCAAATATATATTTTATCTATCATGCTACACAATCAGTGCTATAAATTTTTTTACGCAAAGAAACTTTCTTAATGTTTTAATCATGTTTCCTCAGAGTGACACTTTTTGTTGTTGTTAATACCAAGTATGAACACTCTGCATCATTATTCCATGAACCAGTTCTAATGCAAACCTATGTATGTCCATTAGAAATGGAAGTTATTTTTTAATCAACAATGAGGCCTATTATAAATTTATCAAATGAATCTGGATAGCTTTATAGCATATAAAATATGTTAATTTGTGTTAGCAGGTGCACATTTCACCACTGAAATTAGAAATATTTTGACAGTCTGTTCTGCATACCATTCTGAGTCTACTTTTCTGTCTTTAGAAGAATCGTAAATTTCAATGTCCTTTATTTGACTCAGTGGGATATAGCTGTTATAAGTAATAGGGCACAGATGTGCAGTAGAGTCTTGTTTAATGGCATTTCACTGTTCATTCCCTTTACCGCCGTTATAAAACTTTTCTTTATTGTAATTATCAGTGCAAAGCTATGTATTTATCATGGTAAAACTCCAGTGTTAGAATAGTTTTTTCTTACAGTATACTTTCTTTGGTTAGGTTTGTGTATGTGTTGCTGATTACATTAGAACTTGATGTTAAGTCATTATTTATCACACTCTCATGAGAGCAGTAATAAAAATGTGTAATCTAGGAGAAAAAGTTAATTTGTCAAACTTAGATAAGCATGATGTTTAGGTCCTATTTTTCAATTTTATAACTGTTTTATTGCAACAATATTTGTATTTAAGTCTCCATTTTAATGCCTTGTGGTGTTTTTTTATGCATGTCACTAAGTTGTCATCCCACATAAATTGATGTGCAGCATAGGGTATTAAATCTACATAATGATTTTAAAACAGAAATAGTTGATGGTAAAATGTAAATGTTTTGCAAAAATTCCTTATAAAAAGTTTTGTAGTAACATTTCACTTGTAAATTTTTTTTGTAAAAAAAAAAAAAAAAAAAAAAAAAAAGAAGAATCCAGAAAAAAACCTGTTTCCCATATTCTAGAATTTAGACAATTATTCTGCCAGCAAAGCCTCTGGGGCTGTAATTGACATTTTTACAGTGCTGATTTGTATAAAATTTGTTTTTTGTGGATTTGGAAATAAAATCATGTACAAGTTGTTGCCTGCAATAACAATTGCAAGTAACCTATTAAAAATTCCCTTGAGTTTAACATGTTTCATTTAATTATGTATACTATAAAACAGCAATAAATTATTTGAACTATCAACCTTCTTATCATGAACACCGGAGAGTTAAATGCTTCTCACTGGAGAACACATTGGCAACCCTTCATAATTCCTCGTATTGAGATCTGGTCACCATTTATCTGAACATATCGCCAAAGAACACCAATTCAAATTGCATGTTAATTTGTAGCCATTGCTCTAGACATTTATGGAAATTAAAATTTGATTTAGAGACACTTTTTACTTAAATATTTTAAGCAATCAATGTTAGGAAATTGTAGGAAGACCTGAAAATGAAAAACATAATTAAAATATTATTTAAGCTCACAGAATCACTGAGAAGCAATATAGGCCGCATAGATGCCACAAAGACGACAAGCAGAAACTGTCTTTCCCTCCTGGGAGAGCCCTAAAAATCTCATGAAGACCTTTAGTAACGTGATGAATACATTATTGTAACAACTTCAGCTAACACATTTCCAAACTCAACAGCAGATATAGACATAGCAAAGCGAGGGTTTGGTGGCCAGGGTGGCGGGGGTAGGATGTTAGGCCACAAGAAAAGTACTCTGGCCCACTGACAGAAGACTCCAAAGACTCTAGGTTTTAGGTAGTAAGCAGGGGCTATAAGGTGTTTGGATAGAGAACCTTGTACAGCAAGGTCCTAAAGGCATAGTTATGTTACAACTTTGTAAAATAATTTGTTAATAACAGTGACTGAATCAAAGAATTTGTTACTCTGTCAAATAAGACAGGAATTGTCAAAGGATGTTTTCTATCCAAAGTAAAGATACACTTCAATTACCTGAAAAATTCGCATTAGAAAGCATCAGGATGATATTGTATAAAGGGGTAATGCAGGCCAGGCATGGTGGCTCACGCCTGTAATCCCAGCACTTTGGGAGGCCGAGGTGGGTGGAACACGAGGTCAGGAGTTCAAGACCAGCCTGGCCAACATGGTGAAACCTCATCTCTACTAAAAATACAAAAATTAGGCAGGCCTGGTGGTGCACACCTGTAGTCCCAGCTGCTCAGGAGGCTGAGGCAGAATTGCTTGAACCCAGAAGGTGGAGTTTGCAGTGAGCTGAGATAACGCCACTGCACTCCAGCCTGGGCGACAGAGCAAGACTCTATCTCAGAAAAAAGGCTAATGCGATTAGAAAACTTCATTGTGTTTTTCAATTTTTAATATAGTTTGGTTCTTGTACTTCTAGGAATTTCAGCCACATGAACAAGACAATCGAAAAAGGGATAAATCATCTTAAAAATTGACAGCTGTTGGTGTAGTAAGTTAGGAAAGTTGAAGTAGTGCTAAAAGCAACACTAATAGGGTGTGGTTTACAATGCCATTGGTAATGACAACTTGATAGAAAAAATATACAGTATTGTTTATTTTTTAATTAAAAGTCCAGATGCTTAATGATAAGGGTGCAGAGACTTCAAGTGTCACAGCAAATTTGAAATACTTTATTCCTTTGTGAATCTGAAAAATATATTGCTATATTTACTGCCCGAACAGTAATGCCTGCTTAATATACACACAATCAACTTGTAATTCGGTAGCAGGACTTTTAAGGCATGTATTTTCCATTCTTTTAAGATTGACTGATTAGCATAAACTTTGGTCTCTGTTACCCTTAATAACAGGTGGCAATGAAACAATTTATTTTTGGATACCTGAGCGTAATCTCAAGTAGAAATAGTGGAAGGAAGGGAGGGAGAGAAGGAAGAGCATAAAGGCCTATTTGTAGTGCAGAGGGTTGATCTCCCTGGTTAATAGCTAAGCACCGTGCCAAGAGAGATCAACGGAGAGTCTTGACGATTTCAGGCTGGATTCCTGGTTCAGCCACTTAGTAGGCACACAACCGTGGGAAGTTATTGAACCTTTCAGCACCTCTCTTTTTCTACTTCGTAGAATAAAAGAGCAATGCTTATTAATGGTAAGCATTATGAATAATACATAGGTCTGTTAAGATCAAATAAGAAAACTGTATTGAGTAACACATAGTTGTGTTTAATACATTAAGTTATTAATAAGTTAACCCAAAAGGCAGAGGGTGTCTTAGTCCATTCGGGCTGCTGTAACAAGATACACTAGACTAGGTAGCATATAAACAACAGAAATTTATTTCTCACTTCCGGAGCCAGGAAGCCCAAGGTCAAGATGCTGGCAGATTCAGTGTTCATTCACTGGTTCATAGATGGTGACTTCTAGCTGTGTCTTCACATGGTGAAAGGGACAAGACAATTTTCTGGGGCCTCTTTTGTAATGACACTAATCCCATTCATGAGAGCTCTATTATCATGATCTAATCATTTCTCAAAGGTTCCACCTCCTAATATCACTGGCAATATTATTGGTAATTGGGTTTCAACATGAATTTTTGAGAGGCATAACTGTTCAGACCATAGCAGAGGGCATGGAATAGTTCCCAGCTGGACCAATGCTGAAATGTCTTGAAAATGGGCAACAATACATCAAAAAGTTAATTCTCAAATCCCATTTTAAAAATGAAATTTCAGTGGGAATTTCCAAATTCAAACGTATTTTTCTCAAACTGTGAGCTACTTTGCCATACTCTACCTCAAAATTTTATGAGTCTTTTTCCAATTCTAAGAAAAATTAAAGGTTTAAATCTTTCTTTTTTTTTTTTTTTTCCTTGAGACAAGGTCTCACTCTGTCACCCAGGCACACACCACCATGCCCAGTGGGTCTTGAACTCCTGGGTTCAAGTGATCCGCCCGCCTCTGCCTCACAACGTACTGGAATTACGAGCATGAGTCACCGCGCCTGGCCTATTTCCTAATTTTTAAACATTAATTACAATTATTGTTTGCCTACCTCAAAGTGATAGCAGACAAGCAAACCAGTGAACAAGAAGCAAACCAATTACTGAAAAACAGCTGCTCATATGTTGTTCACTAACTTTTGTGGATATATGTGTGGATGATTTTCTATATTTAAAAGCATTCTCTATATTTAGAAATATATTTGTTAAATAAACCCAGGCATACAGGGCAAAAGTACCCCTCTTTTCAGCTACCTACCAAATTGCAGCCACAAAAAGAAAACATGCAATTTGGTGTTCAAAAGTTTCTTAGACAACTTCCTCTCAGACTTGGTTCAGAAAAGGATAATAAGATGTTCTACATTTACTTTGCTTTTTAGATTCTTTGTGAAATAAGATGGGATATAGAATAAATGTCTAAACTTACAATGCCCTGCAAGGCTGAGGCATCTCTGCTGGCTGTAGCTTCAGTTGCCCATTTGTCCAATTACAGCCTTCTTGCCCGTTTAACTCCTACCTTTGCTTCAGATCCTGTTCTTAACTGAGCTGCTCTCCTCATTCCCAAGCTCACCTTTGTTGGAGATGCTTTTTCCAATTAATACATTTATTGAGCACTTATTGTGTGCCAGATTCAGGCACAAGGGACGCCATTTTTCTTTTCTATGCTAACTCTGCCTTCTTGCTTCCCAACCTCAGCTGGATTTCTGGAGTTCCTTGAGATCCATTTGCCCTATGCCTAGGAATGGGCAGGTCAGCAGTTGCAGAGATACTGGAGTGCATTCAGACCATATCTACGGGGAGGAGCCCAGGCTCAGGTAATCTGAAGCGAGTGAAGATAACAGGTTTCAGGTCAGGGTCAGGGACTTAAGAAATCAGATGTGAGTATTAAGATCAGACAAAAGCAAATTATAGGGAAGAGGAGGAAATTAAACGAGCAGTTGTCATAAACGCCAGTTTGTCTTTGAATCATGTCTTTCTAGATGGTTGGCTTGGTTCAAATTTTGTTATTTATTATCCTGCTATGAAGTGTGGTTTCATAAATATTTTATGTATAGTAGTAGTATTTTTTAGATGTTTAGATGTGGAACCATAATAAAGTTATATTTTCTGCTGGTAAAATTGTTCCTTGCTTGTATAATGTTATGCTGGAATTAAACACATCAGTAATTCACGGTGCTATGTAAAGGGTATTATGGCTTCCAAGTATTTGGTCACCTGAACAAGTTTGAAAATCACTGTTGAGTGCCGGGCACAGTGGCTCACGCTTGTAATCCCAGCACTGTGGGAGGCCAAGGCGGGTGGATCACAAGGTCAGGAGATCGAGACCATCCTGGCTAACACAGTGAAACCCCATCTGTACTAAAAATACATAAAATTTTCCGGGCGTGCTGGCGGGCACCTGTAGTCCCACTTACTTGTGAGGCTGAGGCAGGAGAATGGCATGAACCCGGGAGGCAGAGCTTGCAGTGAGCCGAGATCGCACCAGCCTGGGAGACAGCAAGACTCTGTCTCAAAAAAAAAAAAAAAAAAAAAGAGAAAAGAAAATCACTGTTGAGGAAAATAATCTAATGGCAAACAATAAGCTAGCTGAAAAAAAGATTCCAACCCAATTCAGTAATACTGTAAACGGTTACCACCTTAATGTAACTATTTTATGTTTTTGCAGCTCTTTACGTTAGCTTATTCTTTGTCAAGTTCATATATGTATACATGAAAAATATGTGTGTACATGTTAGGTGGAGCATCATATATGTTTATAGTTTATAAGTCAGAATTAAATTTATGTTATTATGGTTTGGCATTGTAGTTGCTTATTCTTACTGGCCCTAATTATGTGGACAGACATAAAATTGTTAGAAAATTAAACCCTATTCTGATTATCATTTATAACTTTATTTAAATTTCTTTTTCTTTTCTTTTTTTTTTTTTTTTTTTTGAGATGGAGTCTTGCTTTGTTGCCCAGACTGGAGTGCAGTGGCACGATCTTGGCTCACTGAAACCTCTGCCTCCTGGGGTTGCAGTTCAAGCGATGGTGATTCTTCTGTCTTAGCCTCCCAAGTAGCTGGGACTACAGGTGCCTGGATAATTTTTGTATTTTTAGTAGAGACAGAGTTTTACCATTTTGGCCAGGCTGGTCTAGAACTCCTGACCTTGTGATCTGCCCACGTCGGCCTCCCAAAGTGCTAGGATTACAGGCGTGAGCCACCGTGCTTGGCCTAAATTTTCATTTTTATGGAGTAGGTTATGACTAG